CTTATGGGCCCTAGTGGAGAGAGAGAGGGGCGGCCAGGGTGGGCCGCGCGCCCCCTCCCCCTGTGGTCCGAATTGGACTAGGAGAGGGGGGGCGGCGCCCCCCTTTATCTATTTCCAAGACAAGTTGTTAGGGCATATCTCTCTCGGTGTAGTTTTGGTGATTGATGACAACATGTTTGCGGACTAATCGTGTGCTTTGAGCATTTCAGAGTTTCATCCTTTGGCACGAGACGATTTCTTTCCCCTCGAAGTGTTATTCAAGACGGTGTAGCTCTTTCGTTTCTATTTTGGTGGACTAGTTTCGTAGGAGGCACCGTACTATCAAGAGGGGGTCCGCTTTGGTAAGGCTAGGGTGGAATCAACATGTACACATCCTTTTCACACCCTCTGAGCCTTTCCGCTTCAATGGAGAGCTCATTCCCCTTCCTTTGTGCTTGTTTTGGGTCCCAGCGGTAGTACCGCTCAAGAGCCACAGGCGGCAGTACCGCTTGGCAGGGGTAGTACCGCCTGTGGGTCCTCAGCCGTAGTACCGTTGCGGCACCGAGCTCCTACCGCGTCGATTCGAGGGGGTCGCCTCTCGTGTCGGATTGTGCGGCACTAAGCTACGGCAGTAGATGCGGTAGTGCCACTCGAGAGCGGTAGTACCGCCCTACCACCGCGGTAGTACCGCGCAGGGGTCCGAACGGCAGTACGGCATGGGGAGCGGTAGTACCGCGGTCCCAGTGGTAGTACCGATGCCCTCAGCGGTAGTACCGCCCTCTGCGGGGCTGTTCAAGGGGGTAACGGTTGGATTGTTTCCCCCACTATATAAGGGGGTCTTCTTCCCCAAAGTTGACTCACCTCTTCCCCCAAAGCTCCATTAATGCTCCAATCTCTATTTTCGCCTGACCTCTCTCCCTAGCCAATCAAACTTGTTGATTTTCTCAGGATTGGTTGAGGAGGCCCCGATCTACACTTCCACCAAGAGAAATTTGATTCCCCCACTAATCCCTAGCGGATCTTGTTACTCTTGGGTGTTTGAGCATCCTAGACGGTTGAGGTCACCACGGAGCCATAGTCCATTGTGCTGAAGCTTCGTGGTGTTGTTGGGAGCCTCCGATTAAGTTGTGGAGATTGCCCCAACCTTGTTTGTAAAGGTCCGGTCGCCGACTCCAAGGGCATCAATAGTGGAATCACGACATCTCGCATTGTATGAGGGTGTGAGGAGAATACGGTGGCCCTAGTGGCTTCTTTGGGAGCATTGTGCCTCCACACCGCTCCAACGGAGACGTACTTCCCCTCAAAAGGAAGGAACTTCGGTAACACATCCTCGTCTTCACCGGCTCCACTCTTGGTTATCTCGTACATTTACTTGTGCAAGCTTATTTGTGTTTCTTCCCTTGCTTGCTTGTGTGCTTGTTGTTGTTGCATCATATAGGTTGCTCACCTAGTTGCACATCTAGACAACCTACTTTGATAAATTGTTAATTGCCTATCCCCCCCCCCCCCTCTAGTCAACTATATCAATCCTTTCACAAGTATTTCCGGACAGAGGGAGTACAGTAAATGGTATTGTTATTGTCTGTGATTTTTTATTACAATGTTTTTGCTCTTCCAGTGAGCACGAAAAGAATAGATCTGAAGCACATTGTGTGACTACGTGAGGCTACAGGAGGAAGGAAAGACAGAACAGCCAGGAAAGACTTTGGTTTGGGTGAATATCATACGGAAACCAACATTCGGTGGAAACCGATGAAAACCACGATAAGAAGATGTTTTGAAGTTTCAAAAAATCTGAAAAAATTACGGGATGTTAAGAGGGTGATGTTTTATTAGTACACACCCCTATTTTTTCTAGATTTTTTTGAAACTTTAAAATATGATTTTCACGAAGTTTTCATTGAATATTGGTTTCCGTATGATATTCTCCCGGTTTCCATGTTAGGACTGATTTTTCCTACTGTTTCTCCCCTTCAATAGTTTGTTCTGTCCATGTACGTTGCAATCATGATGATATTTTCCGTTGTATTTTTGTCGATACACCAAGTCAATATCATAACTAGCTAGAAGAAACGGCGTAACATGCCCCCATTTGATTCTTACTTTGATCCGGCACAGAGAAAGGAAGTTGCAAAGAAGCACGAACAGGAAAAATATCTCTCAATTCGGATCTGTTGGATACACCATTACTCAATCAGCTGAGATTGATATAACGGGGATATCTTGCAGCCTCTGCACACTGTAAATTGTCGAGTATATCTCAGCTCATTTAGTTCAGTCAGAGCACATATCACTATCGCTGACAATGCTCTGAGCTTATATGAACACACTATCTGCATATACACACTATCAATTTGAGCGTAAACTAATTCCGGACGGATGAGGTAGTCAATGTTCCAAGTCATCTCAGGATAAAGAAAACTGCCGACTGAATCTATGTTTTCAGCTCAGCCGGCAGCAACTCTTCACGCAATAGAAGCAGATATCATCGTCCAGACCAACAAGCAGCAGAAGAAAGAAACAAAGTGGTCCACCTAGCTAGCATGTTCGTGACTATTCTCGCCGCAAGCATTTAACCGTTGCTAATGCAGATTCGTGACTATATATATGTACCATTGTTCCATTTAGGTATATGCGTATCACACAGGTCTCCTTCAGATTATACTCTTGCTTAAAAGTTATTCCCTCGCTTAGAAATATAACCAACGGTAATCTAACTACCCTAAACAAAAAATTTAGACGCTGCAAAGACATACTCCCTCGGTCCCAAAATAAGTGCCTTAACTTCGTACTAACTTTAGTACAAAGTTGTACTAATAAAATGAGATATCTACTACTATACCTCTGTACCAAAATATAAAAGGTTTTTGTAGTTCAAATTAAACTACAAAAACGTCTTATATTTTGGTACGGAGGGAGTAGGTGACAAATGGAATAAACACCAACAAAACTCCATGAATCTGCTAGGTACACAAAAACTCTCACTCACCAACTACCCTTTCAAACCACTAACTCTTTTTCTTCCATAAAAACAAACAACAGAGGCGCGGGCTCCCTCATGGACCAAATATGCCCTCATACATTTGCGCCAAATGCGTGCATACAAAATCCGTTGTTTGTGAATGTGTACCAATACAGTTCTGTTTACAATAACAATGATGAGAAATTGCTCCCAAAGGGGAGGGATGCAAAAAATGTAAGAGTTCAAAGGGAGATCTATCTACTGAGGAATTATTCCAAAAGAGTGAGCATTCGAGGGGGTGTGGAGAACACAAATTTATTTTGGACGATAGTCTGGTGATCACTTTGACAGGAAGATAGATCTGCACTGCTGCACCGTGTCGTCGGGGCTGGTAACTGCACAGGTAAATGGTCAGTCAGCACCAAATACCGATAAATAAATCATGAGTTGGGCTCAGCTAAAAAAACTGAGCCAGAAACCAGATTAGTCTCACTAACAAGTGGACTAACAGAGTAATGTTTCGCAACTAAATCATAATGGGAGTTGTGCAATGTTTCTGAAGGAGTATTGATGCCCTATTGTTTACTCGGTTCGGTCCTCCATTACAGCCTGAGGTGCCCTCTTCAGGGACAAATGTGACTTGAAAATGTACCGCTCCAGATGATTAAATATGATGGTGAAAAGGTAGTTGCTGACAGCCACTACAGCTCGATCATCAACAATTCAGAGAAGTTGGATATTAATGATACTGCCCTCATGCTTGAGCACAATGCCAAATATGAAATCAGTTGGCAACTAATAATTTTGTTTGCTATGTGCATGCTCTGTGCAGTACAGCTCATTAGGTTCATATCTGAGATATAAAGTTTTTCAAAGATGTTCTCTCTGCCTCTCCTGTTTATTAACCAGCCATTCGAGAAATCTCCTATTAAGGGCATGTTCTGAAATTGCCTAGCTTCTCCAAAACTTCCTAAATTCAGCTTCTCGCACGACTTCTCGCTTCTGGTGGCGACTTGGAAAGCGTTCGGCAACTCAGCTTCCGCTTCCTGTCGAATACGCACGGGGCTGCCAGCCCATTTAGCGGGATTGGCAGGCCAGGTTGGGGCCCAATACAAATTGCCAACGCATGTGAGAGAGAGTTCGGAAAAGAAACTCGAACCGGTACGCTGAGAGTCACTTGGCGGTGGCAACCCAGCGTAATTTGTCTCAACTCCAACTTCTTCCTTTCACGGATCTGGAAAAGAGCTGCTTCCCCAACTTCTCCTTTTTTACACTAAGACAGGTCGCTAGCTTCTCAATTCCAGCTTCCAGGAGCCAGAGCGTTCGCCTCAGCTTTATGGGTGGAGTTGAGGAAGCTTGGAGCTGGAGCATTGCCGAACAGGCCCTAAGCTACAATCTTTCATATCATGCAAAATTGTTCATTCAGGGATTGTCCTATATATAAAAGTCTCCTTGATTTCATAGCCATTAGAAGAATAGCTTCTAACATACAACCAGCATACCTGTATGACCAACTGTTCTGTCAGATTCAAATATCTCATGATCATTGCCGCCCTATTAAATATAATGAAAGGAAAAAAGAATGTCAGTTCCAGTTTGTGGTATACAGTACATCTAAGTTTGTAGTAATTAAATGGGATGTCGTTAACAGAATAACAGTGGCTTGAAAAGTTTATCAAACATCATCTTGTGTGCACAAAGATACTTCACAGAAAGAAAAGGAGATTTCTTTACTTGGAAGCACGGCACAAAAAAAGTATACATCTCTTACCTTGTAGGTTTTGTCCCCAAAGAAATGAATTTCTTTGAATTCGTTGAGATATCTCAAGCAGTAGGTTTTGTCCCAGCCTTGTGGGAATACCTGAATTCAGTGATGCAGTAGTAAATATCAAACTGATTATTTCTAGCAGATATTTAAGAGTTTAGAACACTCACATCAAAACTGATCTGCCCTCCAATAGAAAAGGTCAGGTTCAGGTGCGCAAACTTTTCACGAAGCACTGACACCATTGTAGGCTGAACATTATGTACCTAAACAAAATGAGTCAGTTCAGTTTCATGTTTTCTGATAGCTATTTTCCCTTATTGAGTATAACTAACTACTTGTTCTTCGTTTCAAAAAAAAAAAAACTACTTGTTCTTATAAGACAATCTGTACCTTATCATACTTCTCAAAATCATCACGTTCTTCTTGACTACAGTTCCTCCCTATAGGCGATACATTGATCATTCCACTCCTGAATTCTATGAATGTGCCTCTGAGCAAACATTTACTCGGTCAGTAAAGGGCTAGCACCTGAGGGAATTCTCGAATATGATTCTGCACATACCTTTTAATTGGGATATCCAAATCCGCAATGTAATGAAGAGTGTAGTTAATGAATTCCTGCAAAGAACACATAACATCACTACCAAGGCCTCAAAACTCATCAGGAAGGGCATTACAAGAAAGAACGCCGCGGGACGAAGGCTCACCTTAAGCTGGTCATCTCCAAGATACGTTTTCAAGCTCTGCAGAGTGAAGAACACCGGTCAATATTCAGCTGTGGATCATTATACAACATCTCCGTAAACTCGGTACGCTCGTGCTAAAAGCCTAAAACAGCGCGCATTATGTGGCTTGGGCACTTACTTGCGTCCCGATGAGCTTGCCGTCCTTGTGCGCGACCCAGGCCGTTCTCGGAGAAGACGTAGTCATAGTCGGTGATAACTGCAGAAGAGAGAACAAATATCAAACGAAATTGCTGCAATTGCTTACAGTTACAGACAAGACGAGCAGACAATGGAGTCACGAGGAACTCTGAATCCAAGCAGACTGTACTGCTGAATCCAAGCAAGGCGGGTACCTGATTTGCCGAGCTGCTCGGAGATCTTGACCAGATCGGATCCCCCCACCACACCGACGGTCACATTCTGCTCCCAGAAGAAAACCAGAGATCCACAACCAGACATACAGTGAGCAATCTCGCCTGACAATCCTACGGGTAGAGAAACTGAAATGAGAGGACGCAGGGTCACATTCGGCCTCACCTCACGCAGGCGCTTCATGAACTCGAGCATCTCCAGCGTCACCTCCTTGCGGGGGGCGGTGAGGGTGCCATCGACGTCGAAGAGCGCGAGCACCCCGGCGTTTGCCACCGATGCCACCATCTTCCTCCTCCTGCTGAAGCTGCTACGAAGGAGGGATGGGGCGCACCTCCTCGCAACGACCGCGTGATATAGCACCGCCGGGGTCGCGGGGAGGAGGTGGAGAAGGATGCGTGGAGCGGAGAAAGTAAGCTTGGCGTCGCCGATCCAGATGCGCCGGACTCCTCCTCTATCCCTTCTCCCTCCCTCCACGCAAGGCCAAGAGACCTAATCCAAGTGTCATACAATATTCAGCAAAAGAATAACACTAACACAAATATTCAGGCGGGAAGCAATCGCCTCGTTATTAATTCTGATAATTTGGAGGTCATTGAAACCATGAATAATGGCGGACGGTCGGCAGGAGCGGCGGCGGCAGTTTTTGATGATTCTATTTTAATGGCTTGTGATTTTCCTATATTTAGGTTCGAACATTATAATAGAGAAGAAAATAAGGTTGTGCACGAACTTGCTAGGTTGGCTAGATTTTCTTGTACTGTTGATTGGTTTGAGGAGCCTATGAATGGAATTGTACCATTCCTCACAAACGATATATCGGTTATCTCGGTTGAATAAAGTTCATATGTTATTTCAAAAAAATGTCTCACGACATTCCAGTTGAGAAAATATATTCCAAATGTGCAAATTTGGAAGCAATAGCATCAATTACTCATTACTCAATTATATATAAGCAGCAAGCATCATTGCATGATTTGCATCAATGGCAATATGACATGAACATGATTGACATCAATTTGTATGTAAGTTCAATTGTATGGTTGACATGAACATGAATTGACATCAATGGCAGTATAAGCAGGAGCACTGTATGCATCAACTATTCATCTTCATGTTCCCAGATCTTCTAAGCCGAATTGCAGGAAGGTCGATTGTACCTTGCTAACTTGCTACGGTAGGTCGGCAGTGCCGGTCTGGCGCCGCGGAGGAGTCAGCAATGGTGCGGACTGCAGACGCCCTGCAGGTTGGAGGTGAGCCGGCGAGGGGAGGGGACCGTGCCGCCGGCCGGCGCCGATATGGGAGCGGGCTAGCTGGCGTCGGCGTCTCGGCGACAGCCGACAGGGGACAGGACAGCGGAGCGTGGGGGACAGCCGGCGAGGATAAGGAAAGGGCCAGAGCAGAGGCAGCGGCCGACCGGTGACGCCTGGAGGGGAGCGGCGCTGGCTGCGGCCGTGTGCCCGTGTGGCGGCGAGGGCGCCTCCTCCCTCTCTGTCGACAGGAGAGGAACTGGTTTTTATTTTTTTATTTTTTTTAGGGTGGAAAACCAACTTTATTCATGAAATTCCACGTTGAGTGGGATACATCTTGGGTCATGAGGGGCACCAAGCCAAACGTGCCTGCCCGGATCCTTATTTAAACAAAATTTTGCTAAGCTATGTGCTTCATAATTAACAGCACGACTTTCAAAAGTAAAAGTACAATGGAAAAATGAAACTTTCAGATTTATCTCACTGATGATTGCTCCATATGGACCTCGGCCTTCTCTCCTGATATCTGACACCACCTGCTGGCAGTCCGAAGCAACCACAAAATGATGAATGTCCAAGTCCTCGGCGAGGGCTAGTGCCTCCCGGCATGCTATTGCTTCTAGACTTGCTGGATCGGTAACACCTTCAATCACAAGAGCAGAGCTGCCAAGATAATTACCACCTTCATCCCTGCAGACTGCAGCGGCTGCATCCCCTGTCCTTCCCCGGACTCCTGCATCCACATGGATTTTGCAGTGTCCTGTTGGTGGTTTTTTCGGCTTCAAATTTCCATGTATGGGCGTCGGCACGACCCTGCCTCTTTGCTCATGGCTGCCCTTTATCCCTTCCAGTTCAGAGATGAAGCTCATGATAAAACCATGTGTGGCGTGGGGACTTTGGAAGATCGCTTCATGGATGGCTTTCCTCCTAGCGTACCAAATCGACCAGAGTGTCACGGCCACAAGGACAAAATCTTTGTGGGACATTGAATCCGTCAAAGTGAATAGCCATTGCTTCGCCTTGGGTTCGGTTGTTGATATGATTTTATGTGTAACCTCCTCATTCATTAGAGCCCAAACGCTTCTCAAAGAAGTGCACTCAACGAGGGAGTGACGCCATGAGTCCCGCGCCCCACATAGACCACAGCAGGGTGAATCAGACATGCGCCGATGTGCCCGCACATCATTTATCGGCAATGAGTGTTTAGATAGGCGCCATAAGAACATGCGAACTTTTTCTGGGACCTGAGTTTTTCACAAATGTTTCCATGCTCCTTCCTCAGCCCTAGAGCTAGACGGCCCTGGCCCCTCCTCAAGCCATACTTCCTTCTGTTTCTAGTTGCAACAACCATATTATACGCTGATTTTACTGAGAAGCAACCGTGCTTTTCGTGGTGCCAAGCCCAGAAGTCAGAAATGTTACGAGTGCACAACGATATCCTCAATATCACTTGGGCATCCATTGGCAAGAAAGTAGCTGGGACCGGGCTGCTGCCTTGCTGGGCCTGGGCTCAGGCCGATGGGTTGCCATTTTTGGGCCTCGATAAAACGAAATCCTCAGAATTCAAGTTGGCCCACCGTGCTGGTCTATGCTCTGGTTTGCCGAGTAAATCGGAATTCAAAACATCGCCCTACAGTCTGATTATGGATACACTATGCTTAGAGTAGAGAAAAAAAATATTTAGCTACGTACTGTTATGATGTCCTTGATGATTGCAATATAAGCGCGAAACGTTTCGATGAAATTCGGTTTGTGCACCGTTCAAAGGGTGGTACTCTGCGTAGGTCGACCGGCCGAAATCCCAGGCCGGTCACGCGCGAGACCTATGATTAGACGATGTGAAACCATGCGATGCACTTCCTTGGTTTGACGGTGCGTAGACGGTGGACGGTAGAAGTCTATCCATAGGACTTCACTTTAAGGGAGTCATCTAGAGAGAGAGGGAGGAACATGTATCGAGTATATGGTGGATATAAACAGCGACCGCGTTGCCATAAAATCGCACAAGGCGTAACCGAAATCGTACCCAACCAAATCCCCGAATAATGCACATGTCAAGATCTAATTAGTCAGTTAAAAACTGCAGAAAAAACTCAAAAAAAAAAAGACGGAGTGGGAAATAGGAAACTTATTAGTATGAGGCTGCTGCCTTCAACAAAGGATGTGTAAGGCCAACTCCATCGCGCGACCCCATCCTATCCGTGTGCGTTTGTTTGAGGTAAAACGAACGAATCAGATGGCCCAGCGCGCGTGTGCAAACGGATTTTTGTCCGCTTTCGAACCATCCCCGGCCCAAATTTGTGCCGCTTTTGGGGGTGAAACGGACAACATCTGGACGCGCGGGCCGTCTACGTGTGTCCTCCTCTGGCCCGCCCGTCGATGGCACAGGAACGCCTTTTTCTATCCGCCCCCCTCCCTCTCTCCGGCCGCACGCCCTCCATTCTTCCCCACTCTTCTCTCGCCGCCGCCGCTGCCATTGTAGTCGTGCAGCTCGGACGCGTCGTCGCCCAGCCCCTTCCCCTTCCCCTCGGCGCCCCCGAGCTATCCAACCACGGCCACCTGTTTTGCGCACCCGCCGATCGGATTTGGGGCGGATTTGGTCGGTCTTGAGCTCGCCCGGCTGTGGGAGGCCGCGCCACGCCATGGACTGGCCGGGCACCGGGCCGAAAGGCCATGGCAGGGCCGCAAGGCCACATGCAGGCAGTGGCTCCTCCTCTAGCCGCTCGGATCTACACCGACGCACAAAAGCTCGTTGGCGCACCGTTGCCGCTCATTAAGTATGACCACTACCTAAAGATGATCGTGCGCCGGTGTCTACAACGCCGGAACATCCCAGACGGGTGTTTATCAAGTGATTAAACGATGGGGTATGTGCTCGTTTTAACTTCGGTTTTGTGCTCTAGATTTGACTAGTTGTGCTAACTTCAAATTTTGTTGTGTAGAATGGATGCAAGTTTTGGTATTGGGAAGAAGACTACATCGATATATTGATAGAGCGCAATTTAGTAGATGTTCGTGCACTTTTAGCTAGCATAGAAGCTGTAGGTGAGACAAGTGCACTTGTTGCTAGATTAGAGGCTAGACACGAAACTAGATGCGAGGAAGCAACCTCTACTTCTTTAGACTCGAAGAAGAAAGAAACACGCAAGATGGAGGCGGCTCCTCCGCAGATCAACAATGAATGCATCGGGGAGGCACTAATTCAACTTACAGGAGCAGTTATGGAAGTTGGATATCTTTTAAAATGTATTATTGTGGTTCTTATTTTCTTTGGTCTTACTTTTCTATTCAAAATTTGTTGATGTATTCCCATGTACCAAGAATGAATGATGAAAAAAAGTTTCAGGGCTTGCAAAGAAAGTACGCAGACAGGATGCGGCCGGGATGCATCCGCGAGTTGGGTGCACGGCCACCGTATCCCAGGACACGCCCGGACACGACGCCATTGCCCTACTCAAACGGACAGAATCCAGACAAAACGGACGTCCGTTTAGGATCACGTGGTGAAGTTGGCCTAAGTATGCAAAATACTGAATCCATATGACGTGATTTAAATAAAGACATCATATTTTCCTAGCTCGCCTCG